ATTTGATTTATCTTTATGAAGATTCATTGAAATATCAATCATTCAATTTACTTCAAAATTATTGTGATCAATTGATTTGTGGAAACTTGGATTTATTCTTTAAATCAGATGATGTTGCAGCTATCGAAAAATCAATGATTATATCTATACTAGAAAGAGAAGATTTACAATCAAAAGAAATCAATATTTGGGATCATGTGATTCAGTGGGGAATAAGACAAAATGAAAAATTGAAAAAAGATATTTCAAAATGGAACAATGATGATTTTATAGAGTTAAAAAAAATATTAGAAGATGTTATTCCATTAATAAGGTTCAATGCAATTAAATACAAAGATTTTTATAAAAAAATCAAACCTTATAAAAATATATTTGACAGAAAAGTGTATGAAGAACTTCTTCAGTATTATTATATTAATAAATGGCAACCCAAGTTGCTGACTCCAAAAGGTCCAAGGGCAGGAAAAGGATTATGTGATTTACAAACAAAATCTTTAATTATTAATTGGATTGATGAAAAAAAAGTCATACATAATTTATTTAATTTACCATATAAATTTAATTTAATCTTTCGTGGATCTCAAGATAGCTTTTCAAGATCAGTTTTTGAGGATAAATGTTACAACATTGAACAAACTTTAGTAATCATGAAAATTAAAAAAACAGGCGAGTTAATTGGTGGATACAATCCAGTTTGTTGGAATATAAAAGAAAGGTCTCCAGACGATAGCTATTATATTGATTCAGATAAAAGTTTTATTTTTAAGATAGATGAGGAAGAAATTTCTAATTCTATAATAAGTAAAGTTATAAGATCTGACTGTGCAATACAGCATAATGGGAGAATTATTGCAAAAACTGTAGGTAAAATAAAATTTAATGAAATATTAATGGATTTCATTGATTTAGACATACGTAATAGTATCAACAATGAACCTTATTGTTATTATTATAATTATAGTTATAAAAAAGATTTGAAACTTAAAATTAGTAATAAAAGAATTCATTTGTTAAAAGAGGTGGAGGTGTATAAAATAATCAAGTGAAATTGGTTTTTTTGAATCAAGATGAATTTTATATTTTTCATCAAAGAAAAAAAATTTTGTGTAATTTTATTTTATTAATGTTTTGTTTATGATTATAGTATAAAATTAAAATAATTTTTAAAATGTGTAATAATAGTTTCTTGTCCTTGAAAATGTTAACGTATTTTTTTTTACAATCTTATCAATTTTTAACAATGATGCTCTATTATTAAGTCATGTCAAGAAACTTTAACAAACTTGCTGGATGAATCTGATTATTATGATATAGAAACTAAAAGTTGGAGAAGATGATATGACTTAAAGCTCATTCTAATATATTGAGGGTAAGGTCTTTATCAATTAATTGGGAATTAATTTAAAAAATATAAATTTTAATAATTAAAAATATAACATGGTATATCCAAAATATTCTTTTTTATAAAATATATATATATATGGGGCATGCTACAACAAAACCAGACAAAGTGAGCATTGGTACTACAAGAATTTTATGTATCAAAATTCGGTCATTTGTGGTGTGATTATAATTTAACAGGCTTTTAGTTTAAGATTTTTTTTATCTGCTAATTGCTTTAAATTTTCATTTCTTCTAATAGTTGTTTATTTCTCTCTCAGAGTTCATTTATTGTGTTTATCATGATTTTCTTTTTTTTTATTTATTTGTTCTTTAATATACTAATATACTTATATCCTTTTTATGAGGGCATATTAAATTAATTAGTATTTTTTCATTTTAAAGTGTAAAAAACTTAATGACAAATTAACAAGTGTGATTAAGTAATGAAGGTGTTTTTGCTCTAAATAATTTATTTGTTGCCAGTATAGAATGGTCTTGGACAAGTAATATCTTTGTATTCATCTTTCACAAATGGGCAAATATTATGATAAAGGTATTCTTGCCCCTTGTAATTCAAAGGAGGTGGTGTTAACACTAAAATTGATAAAGATTTAATTTCTTTAAAATGTCTGCTTTCTTGGTTTTCAATAAATTGAATTCAGTCTTAAATTTTCACTATACTTAGATTAGATGCTTCAAAAAGAAAATGTTTATATTTCTTTATGCTTGGTAATTTCTTAAAATAAGTTCCCAAAATAGCTTTAATATCCAAGTATTGAAAACCTTTTCCACCTTTATAACATTGAGCTTTATTCAATCCTGCTGGACTATATTTTTTTACTACCTCAACCACATGATCCAGGCAATCTACTCTTGTTCTTCCGTAGAGTTTTTTAATCATGCCAAAATCACCATCACATTTGAATTTGGTATTCAATACTTACATAATATCCACAAATTACTAAATATAAATAAAATCATAAATACTTTCACCTTTGTTCAATTCCTTAATTTCATCAAAGATCATACTAAGTGTGCCATTTAGTCCTTTTCCTATAATTTCATTTTCATCAAGTACATAATTAATTTGTTTCCTTGCTGCTTCATCTTGAATACCAAATAAATGGATTTTATGTAGACTAAGATAATAAATTTTGCTTACTTGTTGATCAAAATGTGGTACATGAGCATTTTGGGCTCAATCATAGCTATAATGAGCAGTAGCATCAACACTGCAATATTGTGTTTTACCCTTTGGGCCAATTAGTTTTCTTTGTTCTTCAACCAATTTGGTATTTTTATTATAATAATTTCTTTCTAATCTTGCCTTAGACAGATTTTCTTTAAATCTTTTAAGTAAAATCTTTGGGAATTGCTATTTCTCACTGGTGGTGATTGTCACCACCTAAGGAATTATACAATTTATGATTAACCCCAACCCTAACTCCGCCCCACGCAAATTTAATTCCTTAGGTGGTGACAATCACCACCAGTGAGAAATAGCAATTCTCAAAATCTTTAGCTCTTTCCTTCTTGGCGAGCATTGTAATGTAAACCATTTTGAAAATGTTGACAAGTATCACATAAGTCAACCCTGGGACTCATAATTTGAATCTCTGGTGTCAATTGATGTCATAATTTTTTGAAGGCATCATACTTTAAAGATTTCAATTTGCTATCTTCTTCTAGACCAGCCAGAAAATGCCTGTGCACAGATTTATGACTCATTTCAGCTGATGAGAATGTAACTGATTGTGTTGTTACTTCTCCCTGGGCTTGGCAAACTATGAACTTCTGCATAATTTTCCAGAAATTTCTTTACTACTTCTGCAATGTTTTTATCAATTACCATTTTAATTTTCCATTGAAGCATTTTTTTTTACATTGCCATGAACTCTTGGTAAAAGACCATGCTTTATTAGATGATTTTGGATATTTTCAAAGTAATTTCTACCAATTCCTAGCATATTGAGATAGGTTTTTTGGAAAAGTACAGAGGGTGATCACGGGTTTCTGAACGATAAGTATTTTTTATTTTTTTTACTTTGTTTACATCATTTACGTGTAAAATTCTAATTTAAGCATTTATTTATAAATTAGTTCCTCGCAAACAAGGAATTTTTCAAGAGGATAATGCTCCACCTCATCGAACAAAGATTGCCGCCGATGTTCGTAACGCCTAAAACATTCCTGTGCTACCCTGGCCTGCACAAAGTCCCAATCTAAACCCGATCGAGAATCTTTGGAATGAAGTTGATAAAAAGGTGCGCAACTTGTTTAATTAACCTAAAAATTTGGAATATTTGGAGCGTAAGGTAAAAAATGCTTGGCGTTCAATTCCTCTTGAATATATTCAAAAATTAGTTGAAAGTATGACCCGTCGAATCCAAGCGTGTATAGCAGCCGAAGATGGAGCAACAAAATATTAAATTTTTACTTTTTTTTTTTAATAAAACATGTAAAAAATATTCGGAACATTTTTAAAAAAAATATTAATATAAATAAATAAATGTAAACGGTTTTTTAATCGTTCGGAAACCCGTGATCACCCTCTGTAGATTAGATTACTACAATATCGATAACCAAATACAATTTTAACCCATAAAAAACTTTAAATATTTATAACAAAAAAACGTCGCAAATATAAAAATTAAATTTTTTCAAATGAAAGTTTGGTGGTTACTAGATACAACTTCCATAAATCTGATTTATGGACAGAATCATTAAAGCTATCTTTTATATAAGTAATTTTAATTTTTTTGATCCATTGATATGGATAATCAATTTAAATTTTCTTTATCTCAACATGTATCCAACCAATTGGGATGAAATAACTTGGGTTAGCACTTATTTGAACTCTAGATTATGTAAAAATGAAAATGCCATATAAGTATTTTGATGCCTTTAAAAAATTTTAAAAATATTAAATTATTAAATATTTTTACATTATTATATCTCAACATGTATCTAAATAATGATAAAAAACAATTGAATATATTTTCCTTTCACGAATTTCTTCTCCCGACATGTATCTAAATTATAATAAAAAACAATTGAATAGATTTTAATTCCGTTATCAAGTTCTTCACCTAATATAGATCTAAATAAAAAACGCAATCAAACAATCAATTAGAGCTTGGTCTCAGATAGTAAAATCCTTAGTATTAGGATATTTTGATGAACGGATAGGATATCCAGATAGACACTGTGTGAAACAAAAAAACGGAAAAGTGAAAAAAACAAATGAAAAAAAGGACTATGTCACATGCCATCATATGATTGGACGGCGTTTGATAAACACTTTTAATATACAATATCCGGATTTCTATAATTTAAATGAATAGGATATCCAGATTGCTACAATTTAAACGGATAAGTATCTGGATCCAAGCTCTACAATCAATTAATCTTTTAATTGCAAAAAAAAAATTGAATATATTTTTCCTTCTCGCTAGTTTCTAAATCAAACAATTGAATAGATTTAATTCTCTAGTGGAGGTATTTACATCTAAATAGACTGTAAATATCCCCACTTTACCTATATACTAGGAATTTGTATGTGGCCAATTTTTAATTTCCGACCACATTGATTGGGCGTTTAATCGGGCAGTAAAAATATGTATTCATACCCTGCTGTGTTCAACTTCCAAAATGTAACAAACGTGACTATCGTGAACCGTGGTTCACAATCAACTTTATGTAGCACTCCAGGAAAAGCAAATGAAAAATGTCTGTAAACATATGGGATAGAATTAGTTAGACCTGACCAGGATAGAATACTTGAACAGCTTCTCTCATCAGTTTCTTCGCATAACATAGATCTAAATAAACAATTAAAATAAATGCAATTTTTACCATTTACTGTTCTAAATTAAAAAAAAAAAATTAAATTTTTGACAAAACTAGGAAAAATTTTATTTTCCAACCTGTACACCTACCATAAATATCCGACCACTTGAGTTGTGTAATGTCAAATTAAAAGAGTCCTTACTAAAAAAGCAACGTTTTCTTAAATAAAACCTTTCTTGCTTTACTAAGTAGATTTGTACTTGATATCAAAATCTCCAAATTACAAAAGCTTCGAAAGGTTTGGTATGTTATTAATGTTTCCATTTAGCAAATAGTCCAAAAAAGCAAATTTTCAATCGGAATCTTTACATGTAATAAAAGTCAAATTTCTTTGTTGTAATGTACAGTGTCAGCATAAATTAGTTCGTAAAAGGGGTTTAAAAAAGTATCCGACCACCCCGTAATTTTATTATATAAAACACTTAATAAAGTTGACAAAATGCAAATTTTAAGGTTTTACGTTTTGTTGTCAATACTTGATCAATTTTTCTCAAATTTTAACCTTATATAATTCAAGATATTTTAAGTGGACCTTACTTAATGACATAATCCATATTTCAACAGAGTTTTGAACTTTTTTACTAAGCTCAAAGTTTTCATAAAAATCACGAAATTTTTTGACCAATTTAAAATTTTCATCCTAAATTCATTAATAATGCAAACCCGACGAGACTTTAGGTTTATATTCAAATTAACTTTAAAAAACATGTTTACTTAATGCACCAGTCCCGGTTTGGTTAATAAAATTTTGAATTGTGTGAGGTACAAGTTTCCCAATTATTAAAATGATCATCAGGTGGTCAGACATTTATGGTAGGTGAGTGATGAGGATCTTATAATTACCCATCCCACGTTTAGATTTCAATTAAAGTACTTATAAACTAAAATATATATATCAATACAAATAAAAAAAAGTACATCTGGTTAGGAGAACCACGTTTTGTCATTGAAAAATAAGATTGTTTTTCCAATCACGCGTCAACAAAAAAAAACCTGTGCAACACCAAGAGCCAATAATAAATAATTAATAATGCATTTGTCGATCAAATAACATTTCTTGTCTCTTTTTTTTTTTAAAATTAAATAGAAATGCCTAAAAAAGATACTAAACAAAGGAAAAAAGAGGATGATCCTGTTGAAATAATCCGTGGGTAAGTGTTTTAAGAATGGTGGTGGTTATCACTGCTCATCATCACTTTAGTTATTGGATTAAACTTTGACTTTAATTTTTAGAGGATTGGTTGAAAATTACTTTGTTTACAAAGATGGAAAAGAATGTAATTTTCACGAATTCATAGTATACAACTTGTACTTTGGTATCATCAGGGGAACAAATGTAAAATCCGACCTATTTACTTCATACCTAGTCATTGGTAAAAAATATTCAAGTTCGTTAAAGGAACTATCAGAGGTAAATGTCATAAATATATTTTTATATATACAAATTGTTCTGGAAATGATGAGAAAGAATCCTCTACAAAATGAGCTTTTTGCATAATATGGGTAGCACTATGGGTTTATCTCAGTTTGAGATGATTTTGGGGATGTTCATTACAAGAGGCCACTACCTCTATTATTGCTTTCATTAAATCTTACAACATTCTTTTTATGATTTGGAATGATTTGGGGGGTATTTTATGAGAACCTGTATGGTATACCCATATTATCAATATGATGATTATGATTTAATTAATCCAGAACATTATTTGTTATTTAATATTAACAATAAACTTACATACATTTATTTAAAGATTTAATAATTGTTTTTTAATAAATTTTATAGGATGACAAAAATTCTGTCCATCCATATTTTGAATTATTGACATCAGGAAACTTTTCCCGCTGTAATATTACATCCATAAGTTTTAATATGAAATGTCATAATATTTCGCATAAAAAGGATGTAATATTTACACTGAATGTAATAATTGCGTAATTTTTTGCATAATATTACACTATTTACATAAGTTTATGGCAGGCCCCATAATATTATGTAAATTTAAGTCAGAAAAAATTTCCTGATGCTTAGATGAAATCCAAAATGATTACTCTAAGATTCACCAATTCTCTGCACTTCTTGTACGAGCAATCAAGAGCTTTGGATGGCATGATCTGGATAAAACTACCATTGAGCCAAAAAATGAAGCCATCATTAAATTAAAAAACCAAGCAAGTATTCTAGATTAAAACCTATATATATGTGTATATATATCATATATACTTATTTTTGTTTTAAAAATTTAGTGGAGAAATTCAAATGAAATTCTTAGCATAATTGGAAATTATATAAAAAGTGATCTTCTTGATGACGATGACCCACTATTATCAGCAATTATTGATGTACAAGATATCAAAATGGATCTGAAAAAACACCACCTATACAACAAATTAAAAAAATGTATAGGGTGGGAAGAATTTTCCCAGGTCTTGTTGATAGAGTTAGATGAATTACCTTCATATCTAAAATTATTTATTATTAATTATTTAAAGGATGACACAATTGGAATAGTTTCAAGTCTTAGTTACCATGGCAAAAGAATGTGCAAATTAACAAGAAATTTCATTGATCAAGTGTATGTATAGATTTTTTTTATATATACTTATTTGTAAAATTTTATTTCAACAAAGAAAATTTTTATGGAATAATCATGAATATATTAATAGGTCACAAATGGTTAACAAATCTACTTATTCTCATGATATAATCTCAAGCTATATGAGGTTTCTTGCACCTGATATCTTTGTTAGATGGGAATCTGGACAAAGTCTAGCTTCCAAAGATTGTGGTGTACAAAAGTACCCAGATATAATTGGTACTAAGCAAAATAGTAAATTAAATTGCATGCATGAAATTTTATATGGAGAAATTTCATATGGACCATTCAATTCAGATGCTGAAGAGCACATTGATAATGATTGTTTAAAAATTGGTAAGCTAGGTAAAGATGGGCTAGATCGTATTAAGAGATTATTGAATACTTCAAAAGTTCAAATTATTTTGATTCATTTCTTTGGTAAATTTATTTAATTTGGTTTATTTTTTGAAATTCAATTAAATCTACTTAGTATTAGTCTATTTATTAATAATAATGCCATTTTTTAGGTACAGAAGTAAGTTTTTATTTAATGGATAAGAAATATTCACCAGCTTATTGCAAAGTTTTCTTAGGATTGCTAACTATGACTACTCTTGAAAATTTCTTGAAAATTTTCCAATTTTCTTGGAAAATAAACAGACTAATAGAAATGAATCTAACAAAATTGGTAGACATGGGGATAGAATCTAATCATGATGATGATGAAGATGGTGAATATGATCATTATCAAACATTTATTTCTCCTAAGCGAATCAAAAAATAATTAGATCTTATATTTAGAAAAAATCATTAACAATCATCAAATCATCATCATCAAATAATTTAAGCAATGTTAATTTTCAATATAACTATTTCCAGCCCAAAGATATGAATAAATTACAGGAGGAAGTAAAAAAGGTTATCAATCATATGTATGTGGTAAAGAATCAGAATGTATCATTTAAATGCAGGGAAACAATATTACTAATAATTAGTTTTAAAAAATAATGCTTCAAAGCAAATAATAACTCTTGATTTTGATGGTTCATTTTTATTATCTTCAAATGTTTTTTGAACTGAAACACAAATTAATTATTTTTTTTTGGTATGGCATCCCAAGTTCCTACATGGACAATGGCAATTATAATATTAATTAGCATTAGCACCAATTTATATATTTTTAAAGATATAGATAAAATTGAAAATTTTTTGGTATGGGTTCAATTATTACCCTTAGATTCTATTAAAACTTGATCATTGTTAGTTATTATAAGCCAATTATTTTATTATAAGCAAAATAAATATGTCAAAATTTTAGATTTGACTGAGTTGGTTTTTTAGTTTTTTTTTTTTTTTTTGCAATAATAATTTTTTAGAAACAAAAGTGCTCCTGTCTAAATTGATTTGCTCTGCCCTTCTTTTTCCTCATGCTCTTCATCATATATTTTTAGTTGAAGCACCTTAAGACATTGCTTATTGTAATTAAATTGAGAGCTGTATGTTAAATCATTTAGAGTGTGTCACATTCCTTTGAATGTTTGTTTATTACATTGTGACTCTTCAAAAGATTCTTCATGTGCCAATTTTGATTTCCTTTTATACAAATCTTCCAAATGCTGTCTGTACTTGACTCAGATCTTTTGATGGCTTCTTTACAGTTCACACTCAAATGGGGCATGTTGCAACAAAACCAGACAATGTGAACATTGGTATTATAGTGGTGATCATCTAAAGATACCACAAAATGTTTCCAATCTTTAAATGCTTAAATATGGGCTACTTTACCAAAACTCTCTATTTTTGCAATCTTTTAGACATGAAAATAATGTTTATAGCATTGGAATGATGTTCGCCATTTGACATGATTATGATCATATCATCATTTAATTTTGTAAGACCACGAATTTTACCTGGAATACCAGAAGAATATGCACAAATGATGAAGAAAATATCGAGATGGTGATTCATTTAAATGGTTAAGGAACTGCTTGAATTATAAACATGAAGGTTTAAATAGTGAAAACTGCACAAAAAATTTTAATAATAATAATAATAATAATAATACTCAATTAAAAAACAAAAAAATATCCACTGACATATCACAGTGGCAAAATTGCTAGGCAACAATACCTTGAACTCATCCAAGTAACTGAGGAAATCTCTGATGTTGATGTAAATTAAATTTTTATTTACTTTAATTAATAAAATTAACATCAATAATAATGATAAAGGAAATGATGTATAAACGATTGAAGTGACAGACCAAACTGACGAGTTTGATGGAAAAACATTAAGGTAATCTGTTACATATTGTTAATAGTTATTAATAAATAATTTTTACTGGTAAAATTTATTTTAATATAAATTAGTTGACTGAAGGTGACTGTTAATGTTATTATTTGAAATATTTTGCATTTGTTTTTCTGAATTGGTGATAACTTTCAAAATTTTTTTTTTAGAATTTATGATATTAATGGATGATTAATTAATATATATTTTATATTATTTATATATTTATTTGTTATTATCAATCAATATTTAGTTTATAACAAAACAATTTTCTTAATTATCCAAAGAAAATGTTTAGATTTTTGTGTTTGGTCTAATGATTTATTGTATCTTTGGAGAAATCAAAAAAAAAAATTCATATATACAGCTAGCTGTCTTATCACTTTTGGTAGCTGCTTAACGCTTTATCATTTGTGGTTGGATAGACACAAACATCATTATTTTTAGAATTTGGAGGTAAATTATTGATATCTTTACATATATAATGGCCATTATTTCAGGATAAATTAACATTACGCTGGAAATTATGTCCAATTGAAAAATTTTTGCACCATTACATTTTTCTATATATAATGCACAAAAAAAACAAAAAAACTAATTTTTTGTGCATAAATGCACAATTTTTAAACAACTTTTGTGCAACATGCACAAAAATGATCGGTGTTTGCTGTTTTAAATCCGTCATTTGATTTAGGATTCAATTGAACCTTGCTATCAGGATATTCGAAGCCCAATGATTATTTTGAGAAAATCTAATCTGTCGCATTGTGTGGTCAATATTCTAAAGAAATATAGGAAGGTCTTAAAAGACTCGGAGGATAACACTTTGAAATCGTCACACGAGCTTAGCTATGCGTGGTTCGGCGGGACTCATTTGTTGATATTATAAATATAATTTATTTAAAAATACATAATAATGATAATATAAATAATGATAATGACAATAAAGTAAAATAAAATAAAATAAAATAAAAAAATAAAAAATAAAATCCTGATGTTTAAACTCAAGTCAGATTTTTTTTTTCTAAAATAAACATACTGTAAAAGAGAAAGTGAAAAAAAAATGTGTTCTTTGATGTCTGACCAAATCAGAACGTCACATTTTAGTGATTTTGATTTTTCAAATAATCTATTATTTGTTCCATTTCAAAATAATGTTGGTTCACCTTTAACATATAATCTTTAATCATCGACATATGGTGGGAAATATAAATAATTAAAGAGTCGTTGTTATATCTGATGGCATTATTATTAATATTTCCAGAATTCAACAAAGAAGTTCTATTATTAAAGTTTAAATCGGCACCGTTAAAATTAAGATTGGGATAGCTATTATTAAATGAAGATGTGGACAAATTGCTATTAGTGCAAAAAAGGTGCTGTGGTTGTGGTGACGAGAATGATAAAGGTTGTTGTGGTGGTATTATGTTATTATTAACATTATTATTATTGCCGTTTAAAAATGGTATATTGTTTGTTCCAGATTGATAATGAATTGCGGGAATTTGTTGATGATTATTAATATTAGTGTGAGTGTGAGTTTGTTGTTGAAATTGTTGATTATACATTTTTATAGTTTTTTTATTAAAGATTTTTATTTTTATTTTTTACTTGGAAAAAAAAACTAATCTATTTATACAAAAAAAAAAACATTCGAATATTAAATATCCAGGTGTTTCTTGTTACCCTTGTTACACGATCAATAATAAATGGAATGGAGTTGTGAAAATTTCAAATGCATACAATCATTATTATATTATTCAAATTTCAGTGTGTAACTAATAAAAACTATTAAAAAAACCAGATAAACTATATTATCATTATTATATTATTCAAATTTCAGTGTGTAACTAATAAAAACTATCGTCGTACATTAAAAAAATATCTAGATCATATTTTTTAATAAAAACTTGTATAATTTTCAAATTTCACCTATTTATTAATTATAATATAGTTTATCTGGTTTTTTAATAGTTTTTATTAGTTACACACTGAAATTTGAATAATATAATAATGATAATATAGTTTATCTGGTTTTTTTAATAGTTTTTATTAGTTACACACTGAAATTTATACATTGAAGAAAAAATATGATCTAGATATTTTTTTAATGTACGACGATAGTTTTTATTAGTTATACACTGAAATTTACACATTGAAGTCCATATAAAAAAAAATAATACATATTAGGATTTAGATTTAGATTTAGAAAAAAAAAAAGTAATGCATATAATAATAAATAATAAATAAAATATAAAATACTATATACTAATAATAATGATCAGCATATAAATAATCCTTAATAAGTGACATATGATGAGAAATAGAAAGAATCAAAGAGTTATTATTATGCTCGATGCCATTATTACTAGAAATCAACAAAGGAATATTATTGATGTTTAAACTAACAGCATTAGAATTAGGAATGTGATTTAAATTGGGACTATTGTCATCATAATTATTACTATTGTATAAAAGTTGCTGTGGTTGTTGTTGTGGTTATGATGTTATTATTAAGATTAATCCCAAATTGATTATGGTTAGGGCTATAATGAGTCGCGTGAGTTTGATGGCGATTATTAGTAATGATTATCCATTTTGATCTTTATAATAAAAACAAGAATACCGAAATAGTAGATTGTACTATTACTATATAGCATTAATTATCCCGAGTTCGAGGTTTCTTTTATCCATTAGAATAAATAATAATAAACATTAACAAATATTTCCTATAATAATAATAATTTAAAATACAACCACCCGTTATACAAATTTGGAAATTTGAAACGATCTAGTGGACTTTGTTTGGTAAATTTTTAACGTTGTTAACCATTTGATAAATAAAGGAAATTTTTAAAAAATAAAAGCATCCAATAGGAATCTTAATTTATATTTAATAAAACGGGACCCGGTCACTTTACCGACAGGACACTTGTCGGTAAAGTGTCTTGCCGGTAAGGTGGATGTCTATAAAGTGATCCAGACCCAATAAAACAATGAAATGATAGTATTTGAGACAAAACGATCACACAATTCACTAATACCTAATATCAACGAACAAGTTTTGTATATAAATTATTCTGCAAATTCTATTCCTCTATACGCTTATTATTTACTTTCATAGTAACAATAATTATTACAAATGGAATGTAATTTAATCGCAGTCTATTTCCTTTTTTCTCAAAATACTTTTTTTAGATCCCGTCAAACAAAGTAGATACCCTTCAATTGATGACTTTTGTAACATCCGATACCATTAAAATTGGCCTATTAAATTTGACTATGATTTCTGGGCGGAGCAGAGATTTCTTCCACTATTTCTTATTTATCAAAATAAAAATTTTATTTATCAGTTTAAAATTTTTTGGCCAAGATCCAATAAATCATATTTTGGCTATGCTCTTCCCTACTAAAAGGCTAGATACTTATTTCTACTCATTTCCTGCTTATTTTTTACAAGAGATACTTAAAAAATTAGGGATGCTAATTTGCTTTGGATCATAACTGAGTTTGAATACAAAATTCAATTTAATATTTTTAATATCTGTTCGAAACGTGCTTTCAATTATACTTTAAGGATAAATAGTTTGATTTATCGGCAGAGTATGTTTGAAGCACATGCTCAAGAAAATTTCTTATATAATTCCTCTAAATTTGTTCATTAATTACCCAAATTGTATATAGAATTTTCTGTTTCTAAATTTAAAAAAATTTTTTATTTCAAAAACAATCAATAAAGAAATTTTATATACATAATCAACCACTTGAGCTATAAAATTATTATCTATGTTTTTTAGGTAATTAATGAATTTAGAGTATATTAGTCCCAAAATAATGATGATAATTTTTGTTTTAATAAATTACAACATGACTGAAGAACAAATTCTAAAATATAATACCAATGTGGTTTTTATATTGATAATTATACAAACATCACAAATGATAATATTATGCTAAATGAAAATATGTCACAAGATGATGATTCGAAATTTGTCAATTGTAAACTTTGTCTCAAAGAAACTGGAATTAAGTGGAATTTTAGGCAAAAGCATCCAAATGCAACATTCGCATAAACTATGGTTGTCAAAAATCTGTTTTTTAAAAAAGTTTAATCTGCTTGAACTCTAAAACTGGGTTGAGCCGAACCTAAACTAAACTAATGAGCAATTTAGCATCTCTAAAAAAAAACTAATTATTTGCAAAAATGTACGAATGTACTTTTTTCTACCACTTGTACAAAAATTGGGCATTTTTAATTTGAAGTTAAAAATACTTAAATTTCCACTTAATCTTCAACTTACATGTCTCCAAGTTCACAAAATCTCTTATTATTTTTTATTTTATGGATCTCTGTCTCATAGCACATTTAATATGTATATATAACACATATATTACTCCCATCAAATCAATTTCTTTATCGATATGAATGATTTCCTCAAATCCTTCGTGACACTTGGAAAAACAGAATTTGAAACCGCATGATGATTACCTATTTCATTATTTTCATAATCTTCAACATAGTTTTCGGCTAGAAAAAAAAAAGGTTTGAATTTAGAAAAAAAACTAGGGTTAATTATAAAAATTTGATAATGATTTTTTGATTATAGTCAAAAAAGAATTAAACGATTTTTAGTCAAATATATTTATTGTTTGACTTTAGGTTTAGGTTTTGAATTTCGGACATCCCTAGAGAAAACTACCACGTCGTTTCACCTCCTGGATTTACATGGTCGAAACGATGTTTTAGAAAAATCCAATCTTAAAGCTTGCAAGGCAGGTGTTGATTTGGTCGCCAATATTTTGCTCTATAAATCCTGCGAGTGACGAATTAAAAATTTTGTATTAAACATCACCCCCACGCCCATTATTTAAAGATCACCACCGCAATGGTAAACTTTTCTAATTTTAATATTAATATTAACATATATAGAAGGAAACTATAATTCTAAAAGGAAAGCATTTTTGTAAATCAACATAAAAAAAAACTATGACAAAAAAAAAAGCCATTTTTCCTTACCAAATCGATACATATAGAAAGGAAAAAATACATCTCTGTTAAAAAAAGGATAAAAAAAAAAACGATAATAATTTCATTTTCATCTTCGTTATTTTATTTATCAAGTAGAAATATAAACATGGCAATGGAAAATGATATATATTTGAATATTCCACAAAGAACATTTATTAATGAAAAATATTTATTGGAAGCAATCACTCATAAAACATACGCACAAGAAAATTTACTGACAGCTGGTCCATATAACGAAAGATTAGAATTGTTGGGTGATTCTGTTATTAGTTTTTTGGTAATTGATTATTTGTATGAGAAATTTCCCGATTATAATGAAGGAAAATTAACTGCCATAAAGTCAAAACTAGTTTGTAAAAAATCTTTAGCAAAATTTGGATTTTCGATAGGCCTGCCAAATTTGTTGAGATTGGGAATTGGCGCTTTGGCTGAAGGTTCTAGATACAAGGAAAAATTTATAGAGGATGCGTTTGAAGCATATATTGGTGCTGTATTTTTGGATTGTGGTAAAAATTATAAAGAGGTAGCCGAATATTTGAGACAATTCCTGGAACCAGCCATAAAAGAAATAGCAAGTAAAGAAAACACGGAACAAGAGGAGATTAATGAAATAACTCAAAAATTAAATGGAATTGGACCTATCGATTCAAGTATTTCTAATAAAGATTATCTGGACTCTATCAATAAATTACAAACTTGGTCTCAACGTAGAGGTTTAGGAATACCAGTATACAAACCAGTGGATGAACTAGGTGTCTCGTATCCAGTTTGCAATCCTATGTTCGCTTATGAAGTTATGCTGAATGATGAGATTATTGGTAAGGGGAGTGGAAGTAATAAGAAAGAAGCGAAAAAAAAAGCTGCTATAGATGCACTAAGAAGTCATCTGAATTTCAACATAGACGATAATATAACTGAACCTATTAACACTCTACAAATCTATTATCAAAGAAGGGGAGGTAAAATCCCCGAATACAAGGAAGTTCATTCCGTTGCTTTTAAATCTAATCCTGAATTCACGTTTCAAGTGTTTATCAACAATGACGTTTATGGTGTTGGAACTGGATCTAATACAAAAAATGCCAGAAAAGCTGCTGCCAACAATGCTCTTGAAAAAATATACAGAAATGAATCCATTTGTTCTAATCCATTTATCAACAACAATGAACATGAACCCAATTCCAATACTCCTGTAAAATTTCGTAGTAAATCCGATATCCCACTTCAAGTGGCCGATTCCAATAACAATGCCCTTGAAAAATTTACACCCATGTGCTCTAATTCTGAATTCAAAAAAATTCAAATGGTTTTCAAAGATGAGGCTGTATCTGATCCCAATGCAAGAAAAGCTATAATGTACTCGTAGCAGGAGAAAAAGGAATGATCATGATAATAATAATGAAAAGTTAATCAATTGTTATTATATATATATATTAATTTATAAATTATATATTTTATATATAAATTTTGTAAGTTCTTTTAAATTTATTTATTCATAATTCATATTTTTATTATTCATTAACTAATAATTATATATATATATATATTAATAAGAAGGTGAAATTACCATTAATATTTTAATATTAAGATTACAAAATATATATTTCACTTCCTCTTTCCTACTAATCATCAAAATATATTTACAAACTTTCTTTCATTATTCCCTCTTTAAATAATAATCAATTAAGAAGATATCATCAATACACACGTATAAAATATTCTTTGGAAATTAAGAAACTTTTATTTTTTTTTTTCAAAATTTAAGCAGTACAATTATGAAAAAGCTTTGATTCATTCTGCTTATCAAGTTAAGAGAAATACAAACTACAAGTAGATTTATTCTTCATTCATATCCCAATTGTATTATGAAATGAACTACTTGTATTTGTCTTTTGTATTTCTCTTATTTTAATAAATAGAATGGGTGAAAGTTTTTTTTTTAAATATTTTAGCTACTATTAAAAGGTAAACAATGGATCACCTTTTGGTTTTGTTTTTAATATTACAATTATAAAAATACTTTTCTATAAATAAAGAAGACTAATGAGGGTGTGGACAATACTACCCTAATATATTAAATATACAGTGTGTTAATTTTTTTAAAAAAATCCAGAATCACATAATAGAAATTATATCAGAGAATCAAAAGATCTTAAATTACCACACATAAAATTTTGAAGCATTTTATTATTATATAGATTTTAGAGCAATCATTAAAAAATTCCACATCAAAAATTTTTTTTTAATTGATAAAGTTCTAAAAAATCTGGGAGCATGGGATTTTATATGTATAATCTTCAGTGCTACAAACTGATATATTTTTTTGTATAATTGTTATGTACATTTTTGTGATTAATGCTTTTGGGCTGTCTAATGATTCTTGGTAGTGCTCAACAATTTAGTGAAGTTTTAAAAAATTTTTTCTTAAAACTTTATATATATGTAACTTTTAAGTCATTTATAGTTTTTAGATGGTTTTTTAATGTATGGCCAATCTGAATCTGCTCTATTCCTGATTGTGTATATTTAATTTCTGTAGTAGCATCAAATCATATTCTAGTATTATTATTGATTACAAAGATGACACAATGCCTTCGATTGTACTTGCCAACTTTTTGTCTAGATCATTACTTATTCCATTCTATTTTTTTCTTTGGTTATTTAATTTAACTTTCACAACTCAACTTTGACTCCAAAATTTCCCCCCTGTAAAAAATGACACTCCATAAAAATTCAGTTTATTCATAAAAGCAAGCAATTGGCAAATGAGCAATCTGGATTTTTTCCATGATGTCATTTATAGTAACTTGTAAGTGTGGAATTGAAACATAATTAATTAACTGATAATAAAAATAGCCCTTTTTATACTGACAAATTTAATTTTTTATATATATGAGAATACTTTTCTAGGTATATAAGAAAATTATCGAAATTTAATCCGGTTCTCTCGATCAATGATATTAATATATAGTTCATTATTTGGCATTTCTGAGAAATCCAACTCTTCTACAAATTGCATTAGTATTTATCCATATTAATATTAATATGTTAATCATTTCGTGTTGTTTCTGTTTAATTATTTTGTAAAAAATCCGTGTATTTATTTTCCATGTGTTTTCAGTATATTTTCAGTATAAAATTTTTTTATAGAACAAGTTATGATATTAAAATATTTACAAAGAATAAATAGTTTGAAGTTTGAGAAAATTCAAGTTGTTTTCAAATACCGATAAAAACTTGGGATAATATTTTCCATTTTTTATAGATAAAAAATTATCTTTATTATTTATTTATATTATTTTGTTTCGATAAAGAATCAAATACAGTAAAAGCTTGGCATTCTTATTGTCTCTCTATCAATTTACACCTGTGGTATAAATTATAAACATAATCTTGCAACTAATGAGCCTGGTCGGAATTTTTTACCTTCCATTTGTACATTAGGAGCTTCAATATTTGAATCTATAAATTTATATTAACACGATGAGATAATATTTTATCTATAATAACCATTTCTCAAACTCTTGATATTACGTAGATAATAATGATATTTTAAAAAAATATATAATGTAACAAGTATATGAATTTGTTTTATATTTGATTTCTTAAACATGTGTATTTGACTTAAATAACTTCAAATAAATCATAATGCACACACATCATATAGCGTTAGATTATATATTGCATGCCAGGTTATGTCTACAAATTTCAGATAGATGCCATTGTATTTTTTTTACTCTAAATTTTTAAAAATATATATGGAGAAATGGTCCATCCATACCGTGAAAAAAAAAGTAATTTTGAGTTAATACCAATATATGCAACTTTTTACGTAGAATGTGAAGCCGTATATACTACTTTGTTTAGTAAAAATTGTCCTCAAACCAATAGTAATCTCCATATTTTCAATTTTTAGGGTATATGGCTCTTTTCTAATGAAATTTCCTTCTTACTGAATACAGTAATGAAATTAAAAGGTCTGGTTTATTATTTATTATATATTTACGATTAATCCAACTGGAGTTACAAAAAAATATAAATACAATTCGAAAAATTCAAATTAATAGAAAAAATAAACCAATGAATTAATCGATGTCATAATTATCTATTATTGTTGCGACTATTATTTAAAAGTTGACTTATTTGGTTTATGGCATTTTGGATATTTTGAAGTTGCAATTCTACGTGAACAAGTAGTTGTTCGTTATTGTTTTGGTCAATGGTGATAATAGAATTAATAGAATTTTGAAAGTAATCATTTTGATAGGAACCTTCCCCGATCCCGAAAGGATTATTTGGTTGATTAATGTTCGTAGCAGTAATTGGATTCTGGTAAATGATATCATTATGACTAGAATTTTGATTGAAATCATCATTGATTTGAAGAATTTCGCCAAAGTTTTGATTAGTGTAATTATTTCCTGTATTTTGGCTGTTTTGGTGATCGAAATTATCGCCTCCAGAGTTTTGATGAACGCAATTATTGTCTCCAAGGTTTTGATGATTCGTAGAAACAAGATTTTGATTAACAGGATTGTGGTTATTAAAAACATTAACCCAGTTATCGTTATTATTGAAATCAGTATCAATATTGTCAAAATAATTTTGATGATTTTGGTCATCCATTTTTCAAATTATAATTTTTTTTTATGGAATTTTTTATAGATTTATATAAAATATTCGTTATTATAATATTATTTATTCCACAACTACACGTTACACATATTGTGCATGCAGTTAAATTTACTATTTACTATTTATTTTTAATTGAGGGATATGAAATTCTGATCGGCTAATTTGAATTGCATAAAAAAGAAACCTAAGAACTAACCGAAAAATTTGAGAAAGAGTTATTAACTACAAAATTTTTGTGAAATAATGTTTTTCTAAAAAAAAAAAAATGGGATGTTTTTCAAATAAGAAAAGATAATATTCTATTACTTTAAAAAAATCAAACTTTTACATACACTCGGCAGATAAAAGTTTATACTCTTACGTTTCTTGTGCGTTTTTCAAATAAAAATTTTGTAATTTTTAGTTTAATTATGATTGTTAAATTTTATTACAAAGCAATTTTAATAAAAATATAAATTTTTATTATTAATTTTAATATCTAGTTGGCCATTCATCGTTAGCAATGCATACCTCCACCTTTCTAGGTATATTATCAATTAAATTCAAATAGGTTTTGCGAGGTATCTTGTTTCAAGAAAGTCTCTCTATTTTTGGACAATCGTACGGTTTTATCTCATCCCACATTCAATGGGACTAAGTTCTTGAATAAATGGCAACAATGGCAACAATACACTCTCCAAAATATCAAAATAACCTTTATGATTCGTTTTTCACTCTACTTTAACCAATAGGCTTAATTATTTAGCAGTTAAGCGATTCCAACCCATTATTCCTCATTACCATGGCTTACTGAAAAGCGAAAAATTTTCAATATTATAACGAGTTCCATCTCACGCCAAGCAAGTGTTGCCAGAAGTGAAAATCGTCTTTAATTGCTCCATACAACACTTTCTCATTGCATCGAGGTTCAATTTCGTCGTTTAATGCAACATCCAAATAGATTTCAGAATCGTATTTCATTAAGAAGCGGCTGCATTATGACGATTTGATGCAAACTTCGATTAACAAAAGCATTTGTAACGGTGAATTGTTCAAGAAAATTTTTTATCTCTCTAGCTACAGCTCTATTATTATTTTCTAAGCAATTTTCATCTTGCTTATGGTGTTTTGATAAACTGGTCACAGTCAGAATCGGAAACTCAATAATTCTTTCAAGTGTAATAATTATTTGTGATCGTTCAATTACACTAAGTTTGCTTGTTCTTCATCTTTTTTTTTTTTTTTTTGACGTTTTGCGATTTTTTTACACCAATTTTTCTTCATAATTTGGGGCATACTGTAACAAAACCAGACAAAGTGAACATTGGAATTACCAAAGATTTCAGGGATCAAAATTTAGTTTTATCGTCACAATTGTTGTGTGTATACATGAGGTTTCTGGGACAGAATGCGCTATTTGCTTCTCCAGACACCTGTTTCATACTATTTTCGATAGCATTAATTTTTATAGCTTGCATATCCACAAGGACATGTAGGTCTCGATTTCATAACAATTTACAATGTGTTGTAACTCCAAGAAAAAAAAATTTTTGTCAAAGTAGATAACAGAAAAGCGAGTGAAACGAGCGAGACGTGCGTAGCACGTCAGATAACAAAACCAGAAAACTAATAAATTAATAAAATTTTCGAATTAAACATTTCTGCTATCTATATAAAAAGAAAGCAAAAAATGTTATCTTATATCATCACTCACTTTTAACTATATCGCTAAAGCAATTTCTTATCTAGATGATAGCAAAGACCTGTTTGAGGCCGGAGAGTAAGAGAGATCGTAGAGTATGTAGAAATACAAAAGAAATATAAGAGACCAAGAGATAAAGCTATTTCATCCGGGAAATACGCTAAAAATAAGGGATAAAAGGTTCCAGACTGGAGAAGGCATATTATTCCAAGATACAATGAAATAAAGAACTGAAATTTAAATCCTGAGAGCAAGTATTACAATACCGATAGAATCAATAATTTTATAAAAGAAATAGAAGAAATCGAATCTGAATGAAATTATTCTTCATTCTCAGAAAGTTTTTCGATAATTTTGGCAAGATTCACAGAAAAGCATATTTGTTTTACGTTATATTTTTTTTTTAAGTCTAAATCGAAATTTCAATATGAATACTTTCATTGATTATATATAGAGAAGCATTGAGATCATAATGTAAAATATGTTAACGCGTTGTCGGAGGAGTTGATGTCGAAATTAAAATTTCGAATCCCTCAAGGTATCGCCCCTTCGTGGCTCAAATATCAAAAGTTCTAAAACTAGCCCCATGACCAAGGCTCAAAATAAATTTTTCACCGCAAAGATAAAAAATATACCCCCTGGTCCAAACGGTCCGACCTATCAAAAAGTACCAAAATATATATATATTATACTTAAATTAACTCTCTAACTCCTAAATATCATCAAAATCAATAATAACAATCAATGGTCCAATGGTCCAAGGACGAAATTATAACTTTATAATATACCTATACCTATATATATAAAATATCCGAAAAGATCCTTGGACCATTGGACCAACTTTTTTATACCAGGAAAGTATTAAATCCATATCTAGAACGTCAAATTCGATAATTATATCAAAAATTCGTTAATAAGACCAGACCCTTGGACAATTGGACCAATTTCCTCTATATTTCCCGCATAAAAAACCAATACATATTACACAAAAAAATAATTTGAAAAATGCTTTAATCAGCTGCCATACTCCCCTAATACTAAGAATTCTGATTATTTAGAATCTTCTTAGCGAGTTTTACAGCTTTCTTATGCTCTTTGGCCTTTTCCTTTTTTTCTTAGCAATAGCTTCTTCAGCAGGAGTCTTTAATTTAATCAATCCATCCTTAGATACAAAAGTATGTTTATTAGTACCGCAAACAATACATTTGCCAATTAATTTTTTCCGACCACTTTCAGCAGTTTCCAATTTCTCAGATGCGGAATTTGTTTTGGCACGGCACTTAACACAATAAGTTTGAGCCATCTTTTAAACTTAAGATATATTATTTCAAATAGACATAAAAATGTCATTCACCAATAGATCGTTACTATAAATACTATTCATTATCTGGCATATCTCCTAAGTTACTAAAGAATGAAGAACATTTCAATCTCCATATCAGGCCTAAAAAAGTAAAAAGATCAGAACAACCAAAAGTAGTTGTATGGAAAGCTAATGCTATACAAGATTCTGATTTACAGCAATATCCAATGGACCCAGAAGGCTATATATATTCTCATATAGTTGTTGATGTCTCAACCTGAAATTTGGATGGAAATCCACTCAAAAGTAAAGATGCTGTAACAGTATTAGAATCCTTCAAAAAGATATATCAACAAGGTATTGTAAAACCTCCTACTTTCAGATTAAATACTGATAATGGGACAGAGTTTAAAAATTATTTAGTACAAGATTTTTTTATAAATGATGTTGGCATATTAATGAAGTTGGGATTTCCTGGAAAACATCAACAACAGTGTTTTGCTGAAAAAGCCAATCAAGCTCTTATGGAACCTCTTACAGAACGAATGACTGCACAGGAAATGAAAACAGGAATAATTTCTGTAAAATGGTCCGAAGATTATCCAATTGTGCTAGAGGCCCTTAGAAAGAAATGGAAATGTGATCCTCTTCCTATTCCAGAAGGACTTCCTAAAATATCAGAAAAAGACGAATTATTGCTGGAGGGTACTCGAGTTCAAGTTATGCTATTTGTGCCTATGTCTGTTCTTGGTCAAAAACTACATGGCAAATTCCGTACAGGAGACATTAGATGGGATCCAAAAATTCGAATTATTAAGAAACTTATGCTTACTCCTGGGCAGCCCCCTACATACCTTGTAGATGGTCCTCAGGGCAAGTTAGGCATATCTTGTTGTACTTATATTAGAAAACAACTCCAAGTGGTTCTGGATAATGAAAACCCTCCTCCAGATTCAGTTATTCATGGCAATCCAGATAAATTCATTCCTGAAAAAATACCTACCCTATAAAAAATTTTTTCACAGAAAGTCCTACAAAATGTAAGGAACTGCGGGACATGTAAGGAAAGTCCTACAAAATGCAAGGAAATTCGCATTTTTTCCTTACATTCTGTAATTTTTTTCATGTATGGAAAAATGCGAATTTCCTTGCATTTTGTAGGACTTTCCTTACATGTCCCGCAGTTCCTTACATTTTGTAGGACTTTCCGTAAAAAAATTTTTTTATAGGGATATTTAAAAAAAATAAATAATATAACAAGTATATGAATTATATTTGATTTCTTAAACATTTGTATTTGACTTAAATAACTTCAAATAAATCATAATGCTCATATAGCATTAGATTATATATTGCATAACAGGTTATGTCTACAAATTTCAGATATACAATATATGATAGATGCCATTGTATTTTTTTTACTCCTTTAAATTTTAAAAATATATATGGAGAAATGGTCCATCCATACCATGAAAAAAAAAGTAATTTTGAGTTAATACCAATATAAGCATAGCAGGCTTAAATTTGATTGGTTGATCAACAAGGTATAGATAAATCGAAATTCATTATTAAAATTTCTGATCATCTGACTTTAACCCTTTTTCTGGCCACCAAAAATTATTTCTGGATTACAAG